ACAGATATACTTGATACAGACGATAAAATATGCCTATTACAACATGCATCTGGTGTAAACTGAAATTGCAGCCCGTTGGAGGAGTGTTGGTATTATCGCTGATAAAATCACCATCAGCTCTAGAAAATCCTCCTGAGGCCCATTGACTGACGCTAAACACCCTAGTGAATATAACCAAGTGGTTGTCACAAGTAATTGTCCTCTGGTCTGCTTGATATGAACGATCAAAGTTCACCAATTTAACATTGAGAGTAATGGGCGCAAGCCAATGTTTTACCCTAGTCCAAAATGAGAGCCTCGTTCTGGGTTCACTAATCCGGTAACCGACTGTAAGAATCGCAACTATTGTCACCGAAGTTAGTAAGTAAGTCACGGAAGACCGTCACAGACAAAGAAAGATTGTCAACGAGAGCTGCAACTTTGGTGAATCCCACGGCAACACACCGAGGCATAACGGAAATTCCTCAACTCCGTTCAACACAACTTTCCTTAACTTCTCCGTCTGTATGCACCATGCAGCTCAGTTGAGTCTCATAGACCTTTATCGTGATTGTCGTCACAGTACCACGTGACCCAGATCTGTTGCTTCATTTATGCATATTCTCGCAGTCGGAATGACGTCACAACCGGAAAAAGTCCCTAACAACCAACCGCGTGGGGGCTAAATCGGTCGTTCGGCGCTATCTCTCCTTGTACTCAATGGAGATGTGACAAAAAGGCTCTTCAAAAAAAGGGAATTTAATATAGTTCAAGTGGTAAAATGTCTTTTCAATACGAAGAAGGACTTCGTCCAGACTCGGCCAACAGATATAGGCACAAACTGGAGCTCTGTGGACAGGAAATTTGCCCATATAAGCTGCCGGCAGATGAGTGGGAAAACGATCCTAAACAATGGCCAGACGTGAGGACTCTTGATATTTTCGTCTTTTTGATCAAGAGCCCAAGTAAGTAAATACTTTAAAAAGTCTACTTAAGTAAGGTCAACACTACTTTGTGCTGTTTTTAGGGTTTTGGTAATCCAGTTTGTGGTATTTATGGAGAAGAATGAACAAACGTGTGAGGCATAAATAATACACCATAGTGTCTAATTTGTATCGTATCATTTTAATCGTAGTTTGAAAGAATTGATGAGGAGAAAGATAGAACAGTGTTTAATTAAATTATACATTTCTAACTAGTATTTACTAAGTAAGTAATCCTTTTGCCCGATCAGTACGTGATACTAGGCACTTGTATAGTTACAGTTAGTATACTTAAGTTATCGGCTGTCCCTTTGTTGTTGGTGACTAATGGATTTTTTTGTTGCGTCAAGATTAATCTGCAGCACAGAGGCACATTTCAAATGACCTGTGCATTTGTATTAGTGAGTGTGTGTCTTTTCATAAACCAGCACTAAATTACCTGTCCTTGAAAACTGACAAATTTTGGAATTTCTTTCAGGGTTGTACTCACTAGAGGCCATGGACAACTACCGTTCTCTAGAAGCACACACATTTTTCACATCTGGTTGGGTCCAGACAGTGTACCATCTTGTGACAAAGAGTGGAAATTTCATTTTTAAAGCTGATGTTAGGCCATCATACAGAGTTACAGAAACTCCTCATCATCCCTGGGTGGCTGTGAAAAGCACTGGAGCTGTTATTACAGCCCACTGTGACTGCATGGCTGGGTAAGTCATTACTTAAATTTCCATAATACATGTCTTTACAGTACTTGCTAGAGTAAAATTTTTGGGCAATTGCTGGTCATATATTAGTACCAATGATAGTTATTTCATACATTTCCGTATATTGGTTATGTTGGTTCAATACAGATTTCTTTATGTACAAATAAAATATTATAAGGATTGTGATCATCCTGAATGTAAAGTGTGACTTGCTGCATTGAGGGGGAAAAACACTGCAAGTTCAATAAAGACTGCTATACATATTTACATAGAAATTGAGTGAATTATGCTTGAAAGCTAGATTTTATTTATCCACATGCATTGGAGTAAGATACTATTATTGTATGTAATTGGCTATGTTTTGGTATCTCTCATGAATTTCATTTGTACTTTTCAGCTTAAGGGAGACATGTTCACATGCTGGAGCTCTCCTGTTTAAGATAGAGGCAGCAGTCAGGCTTGAAATCACAGCTACAGCATGTACCGATACAGCGTGTCAGTGGAACGACTGCTTTGTGGAAAATGTAGAGCCAGCGAAGGTTGCAGATATCAAGTTTTATACGTCTCAGGCCAAAGAGAAGTTAACACATAGCAAGAAGCCCAGGCATGTTCTGGAACCAGACCCCCCAGAAGTGCAAATGGAATTTTTGAAGTCACTCGCTTCATCTGGATCATGTGTCGGCATAAGTCTCTTCAAAGAGTTCAAGGATAGGTTTGTTGGTTTAGGGCCAAAACCATCTCAGGAAAGACTTCCTCCACCACTCCGGTCTTTGTATGCTGATGGGAATGAAAAACTTTCAGGGGAAGAACTTGAAAGTGCTTGTGAGAGTGCTAAGGCTAAAGTTGAAGTAAACAATGCTCAAGTAACTTATGTAGAGCAAGTGACCAGAGCACAGGCAAACTCTAAGGCCTGGCATGACCAGCGTGTGGGAAGAATAACAGCTTCAATTGCTGGAGACTGTTTGACTACCAATCAAGAATCTCCTGCGCCTTCTCTGTTAAAGAAAATTGCTTCTGCTGGGAAAGCAGTGCAGTCGCCAGCAATTTCGTGGGGAAATGCTCATGAGGCAGATGCCATTAACCTGTACAAGGCGGTATATGGTGAAGGGAAAAAGAAAGTTTTTCCCAAAGGACAGATATTGACAAGCAGCAGTATCCCCAACATCCACAAACAGTGCAGTGTCACAGGAGCTGGACTGTTTATTTCCCAAGCCAACCCCTGCCTAGGTGCCTCACCAGACAGTATAGTGAGATGCAACTGCTGTGGTCAGGGGGTTCTAGAGGTGAAGTGCCCCTATAGTCTGAAAGACCAACCCTTTTTGGAAAAGTTTCCAGTCTATATAGATGAAAAATTTGCAAGTGAAACAAAATCATAAGTATTTTGCCCAGGCACAATTGCAAATGTACATTTGCGGCGTGTCATTTTGTGATTTTGTTGTGTGGACCCCCATTGATGTGATATTCACTAGAATTGAACGCAATGATACTTTCATAACACATATGGTGGGGAAGTTGGACATGCTCTGGAATAGACATGTGTTGCCTGAACTTGTAACCAGGCGGTTAGAGTTCAATTGTCCACCTGAAAATACTGCTATAGTCACTAATGGTGTTGCTACTCTATACTGTGTGTGTCAATCTCCAGAGGAAGGTGATATGGTGGGTTGTGACCGCTGTGATGAGTGGTTCCACCCAAAATGTATTGGATTAAAAGGACTGCCAAAATCTAAAACTTGGTACTGTAAAGCGTGCAGGAAAAGAAATAAGAAAGCCTAATGGGTAAATTAGCAAGAGCTTAGTTTCTGCCTAGTCTGAGGTGCTTTTGTGCAAGGATTTTTAGTAGATAAGTACGTGGTGCAATATTTTTGTATAAATACTAGTGGTCAGTTTTTTCAGTTATACTTTGTGCAATGTGTGTTCTTTTTTCTCAGTCATAAACTGTGCAATATATATGAATATTATCAATATAAATACTCATTTTTTCTCAACCATTCATTGTGTAATAAGGGTACACAGTCATAAACTGTGCAATATATATGAATATTATCAATATAAATACTCATTTTTTCTCAACCATTCATTGTGTAATAAGGGTACACAAATGTAAGAGCTTTTTGTCATGGGGAATATTTTATTTTATATTTTATAGATAAGAATAAAGACAAAATTGAATTTGAGAAATTTATAGTTTTATTCAAATCCCTCAAAAGTGAAACCTTTATCCATTCTGTTTATAAAAACTATACAGTAACACAACAGTACAGCAAAAATTGATGCTACATTAGCACATAGATAAAGGGCAGCAAAGCAAACTACTCTTACTAGACCACAGTTGAGCACCACTGTTCTAAAGATACACGATTCATTTAATTTATACATAATATAAAAAATGACCCAATTCTGTAAACCCCTAGCTACTTCACTTATGTCCTATACGCTTCACTCTTCTTTTGACCCTTCTTTATACACAATTCCGTCACCCATGTTCAACAAACAACAGCACACTTGTATAATTTTATCACAGTTGGCTAAATTCATGTCCATGTTCTCATCCCTTATACTTTGAAGAAAACGGAGGGGCAAAGGGCCCTTCAAAATGCAATATCTGTTTTTTAATAGACCAATAACGCGCTCTATGTGGATTCTCACAGATGCTATTTTTCGTGAAATTTCCAATTCCTTAGCTGGCAATTGTCCTCCTTTCCCTTTCGTAAATGCAGGAGTAAGTAGTTCAGCACCACACCTTGACGCAAAGTCATCTTTAAGTGTGAACCCCCTATCCGCTAAAATCTGGTCACCAGGCAAATGTATGTCCGAACTTATAAACCCAGAGTCCCTTACTATTTTTTTATCTGTTGCCCTCCCACCCCACGCTCTTGAAATAAAATTAATTGCCCCTAAAGGTGTACATGATATAAAAAATTTGATGGTACAATGTTTTTTGTACTGGCTGTAACACTGTGCCCGAGCTAATAAATTCCTGGGGGCATCAATAAAGATCTCAAAGCAATCAATAATCGAAGTCAATCTAGGGAATTTTGACTTAAAAACAGGGGGAATTGTAGCCAATACAGATTCCCTGTCCTGTGGCTGAACTAAAAAATCCAACTTCTGATGCATCAGATCAATCCACTTCCAAAAGTTATCTATCATCGTGGACTTGGGCAAACCCCTGAGATGTGACAGAAAGTCAAAAGAAACATTGTGCTTTAACTTGACAAGTGTTAAAAATAGTTGTTCCCTCAAAGGAATACTACACTTTACACCTTCACTTGGAAAACAATGGCTCAGGAACAAAAACAACTTCAAAAAATAATTCCACGACAATCCCGTCAACATTTTGCAAGCCTCATCGTTCCCTTCCACAGACACAGATGACAAAGTTGAAGAACCATTCATCATACTTTCCAGAACTGCCACCTTTGCAAGCGCATTGTCTCTTTCCTCTCGAAGATTAGAGATTTCTAGGAGAAACATCTCTCTTTCAGATTCTTCAAGTGACTTTGAAAAACCTCTGGCTTCTTCTGGTGTTTCTGGTGCCTTTGCTGAAATGGGAATTCAAAACTATTAGATGAACTACTACTTTGTTTTTCATCTGTGCAGTCATTGTCAATAATAAGCTAATAAAAAGCAATTGTTTATGTTGTTTATATTAAAGTTAAACTACCTGTTTTAAAATTTGCACTCTAGTAGTAAAGAAACATAATAAAACCTCAGATCATGTTTAAAAATTAAGATATCATGCACTGGATTGTAATTTCAAATCTACAAAAGTTTTATTCATGCAAGTCTCCGGAAAAAAATAAGCAGTATCATCTGCAACAACTATGAAGTTGTTCTTTTAAATTTAATATTACTTACACCTAGTTTCATCTCTACAGTTGGCAAGATTTTCACAGGTTGACAGATCTTCTACACAGTTAGGGTGGCCAGTAACATCATCTGAGGATTCTACTAGGCTGGGGGAGTCTGCAGTTTCAGGCATGATGGTACAGTTTGTGGGATCACGCATCATCAATCTCTTCTTTGCTGGAGGATCATGAACTGTAATGAAAGAATAAGGATTTAAACTGAAAAGCAGACATTATAATTAATGAAAGCAATTTGTGTGATATCTTTTCAAAAATCAATTTCAAAATGTTCAAAGGATTAAGCACTAAAAGAAACATTCCATATTCTTTCAATATAATCTTTCAATAGAAAACTGACAATATGGGTTTAATCAAATTTTTCTAGGAAACTTTGGATGCTTATTCTAGGGAGCTATATGTGAACATGTAACATGCTGATGTGTTTCATACACTTTGTAACCATTTTTTTTTTCAGCAGACAGCTTACTAGATACTTGTTTAAGTAATATTCGTGACAACGGCACTCACCATTGGTTTGTGAGCGATTTACAATCCTTTCATATCGATCCACTTTCATCTCTGCATTTTGGATCACCCGAGCACTTGTGGTGGGAAATACATTTGGCACGTAATCAGGGTGTGTAGGATCATTGACTCTGAGACCTAAAGAAAAACAAAAAGAATTGTTACTAAATTTTTTGTACTTTTATTTACAGTTATTGACAGTTAAAATTTGTGAACTATGTCATTATTTGGACTTTTTATTATGACGAAAGTTAATTGTACTTTCCTAAAGATTTCAAGTGTTTGGCACCAGCTTTGTTTTGATTTGACATAAAAAAAACTCCAAATTTAAAAGACACATATATAGACTTATTTAANTTTTTACATGAACATTGTCCTTTAATGCACAGCTCTGGCCTGTAATTGTGCCAACAAGGTGTCAACCCAAAATTATTTCACACTGATCATTATCACACAGGTGAACATCAATTAAAGCACCTTTCCTTGCCCTAATTCATAGGAAACTGATTGACCTGACACTAACAGCTTAACTGATCTATAACTACACAGTACGGTAGCAGTATTGAACAAAAGGCATGGCTGATCATTATCACACAGGTGGGTAGCTGAACACCTTACCTTGCAATAATTAACGGGAAGCTGGTCGATCTGACTCAAACAGCTTTCAACAGCTGTTAGTGTCAGTTTGGCAAGATTTGTAAATTTCCATAAAGAAAACCAAAATAAATAAAACTCTGCACAATTTAACGACAGTCTGGAATTATTTGAAGTTGAACAATGATAAAATCGTTGATTTAGCCATGTCAGCAGGTGCCATTAGCACAGATGTAGTATTAATATGATATTCTACTCTAAAAAGAATTCAAAACCCATCTAACCTGTTAGAAAGTGCAAAGAGCAGACATAAGAGGAACTTCCTCGCGGCGACCATAGTTTTGATCTGTCAACACTGCCGTCGCTATTTATCCTTGCCCTGTTTATTGCTGACAGCCATTTTTCCCTTCTGAATTTCTCATTAGGTATTACAAAAAACTTGATTTCACTTCCTTTGTGTTTTCTCGAAGAACAGCCAACTATACAGCAAGTTTTTGGCATCTTTATCTCTTGTCTGCTTCACGTCTTATACATAGACTGATCGCGGTTGCTAGGGAGTTTGCCCCCACGCGGTTTTTTTCTGCGCGCGCACATGGGTGTCACGTGGGCTATCCGACTGCAAGAATTGAGGTGAGGTTTACTAAAACGCTTTTTTCTACTAATTAATTGTTTTTTATAATTTTTAAATGGCGGGGATCGATTAAAACATACCTCTAATGTATAGATTGAGTGCTGAATCTTCAGAATTCGAGAAATAGATTTTTATGAGTCTATTCGATCTCCTTTCATTGCTTGCGACGTGCGTCTTGCACAGCGCTCGTCTCTCTTGCTAACTCCGTGCGAGGGGAGTAAGTTACTCTTGCGGCCTCTCCTTGCAGGCTATTCGTAGAATCTTTTGGACGTGTCCAACAACCTCCGTGCGTGCTTACGGGCTGTCTGCAAAATGGAGATTGCGTAAAGCCTAGGTCCCAACTACGTTTTGGACGCACGGTTTTTAGGTTCCTTGCGTCCGGCTAGGACGTAGCTAGATCGCAGGGAAGGAATCGGGAAGGAGTTCGTGCGTGAGGAGCACGCCCATCGTGCGACTTTTGGAGGACGCAAACAGCACGTAGAAACTTTTCGACATGATCAACAGCCGCTACGTGCGATCTAGCTACGTCCTAGCCGGACGCAAGGAACCTAAAAACNGGCTAGGACGTAGCTAGATCGCAGGGAAGGAATCGGGAAGGAGTTCGTGCGTGAGGAGCACGCCCATCGTGCGACTTTTGGAGGACGCAAACAGCACGTAGAAACTTTTCGACATGATCAACAGCCGCTACGTGCGATCTAGCAACGTCCTAGCCGGACGCAAGGAACCAAAAAATCGTGCGTCCAAAACGTAGTTGGGACCTAGGCTTAACTTTTCGACATGATCAACAGCCGCTACGTGCGATCTAGCTACGTCCTGGTCGGACGCAAGGAACCTAAAAAACCGTGAGTCCAAAACGTAGTTGGCACCCAGGCTTAAGAAGGACTTGCGTGGGACGTGAGATTCTGCGCAAAATTTGGACGCAAACAGCCCGTAAGAGCCCGTACGGCCGGTTGTGACCGAGGCTTAAGATACATGTATATAGGCGCTACATGTACGGTACGTTGTCGGTGCAGCCCCATCGATTTTTGTCCATGTGGTCAGAATAAGGAATAAGCACAATTTCAAATTCATGCAATTTAATTATACTAACTTTAAAATAATATGCCTCCTACAACCACCAAAGGTGGAAGGGAAAGTGACCAACAACAGGTCCAACCATTAACACTATCGCCCCAAGTCTACCGAACATAGTCCGTACGGGAACTGTGCAATGCCATCTACAATATTGCTATGACCTACAGGCCTGTGATTTTAGAAATGTGTCAAAAACTTTAGCTTGGCAAAATCGTAGAGGGTACGGAGGCTGTCAATCCGAACGGATTCGTGCGATTTCGCATGGCCACTGTCTCCCTCCGCACCTCCCCCCAAAGAGACACATCTATACGGACATCGCATGGTAAATGTAATATACATGTAGGCCTAAGTTCTGGTTGTCCACTAGAACCATGTATCTATCCGTGTGCAGAACGAGTCAACTCTTACTGTCTGTGAAATAGGCTAGGATTCGTGTAAATTAGTATTTCCTTAAATGTAATTGCGAAGTAAATCCAAACACCGTTAATGCCTTTACTACATACACACTAGTACATGAACACTGTAGATACACACAATCTAATTGCGATCCAAATCTAAAAAAACATATAGACCCCCTATATTAAAAATTATGAAAGTGTAGTAAAACGAATATTGCCGCTTTGTTGTAGGTATAATTAATCTTGGCACAGCAAGTTCCAAATAACGATATATATGACCATTTGGTACATGTACCATATGGGTTTGAAATGAACATCATCACCATGCCAGTGCTGCAAAACGTCAAACAAATCAAACTTGGAGTATATAAGCATTTTTTTAATTTCCTAATCACAGATGCGCTGACTGCATTCAACTGCTTGTATTATATTGCTCACAGAATAAAGCTTTGAATGATCGACCTGCGGTAAATTTTAATATTATATCTTAGTTGTTTTTAGTGTCACAGGAACGACTCGGTCAATGAACCAAGCTAAATCAAGCGCATATGTGCAGCGTATATATCATTAATATACCTTATTATGTATTATTTACCACTCCTGTAAGAATCTGAAAGATTTCCTGCTACCCTTCCTTTTCTTTAAATATTTTTGTCCTTTCACTCTGAAGACAAATTATAAGTGCTGTTCTCACAGCTCCAACTTCATCAGGCTAGCAGGTTTATCTTAAAATACTTTACTTGAATGCGTGTATCCCATATATAGATATATTCGTACATGTATCCACGTCCACATTCATCTATGTCTGTCTATCATTTTGTGGTTCATAAGATTAATAGAAAGTTGCTTGCAGACGTAAATGCATTTCATGTCGAGTGGATAAAAAAGATTCACTCTTACATGTATCTCACCCAAACCCAATATAGAGGTGCAAAAAGGTCACAGACATGCCCTTAAAGATATTAAGTGCACAGATTGCAATCTATGTTTGATTATTTCAGGTTCCCACACAAATTTCCGCTCTCCTGGAACCATGAATCTTAAAAAAATAATTAATTGTCTAACCCCGAAAAGGAACACACGTTACTGTCACAAATGCAAAATGTCCAGCTGTGGAAATGTTATACTTTGAGAATTCAGTCATCACTGGTTTTTGTACTTTGATTTATCTCGTTGTATAACGTTGTAAAAATTATGATAAAATTATCATGTATAGAGCAGTTAATTGTTTTATAGCGACTTTAGCTTGTCACTGTACATTAAAAAGATGGGGAAAATACACCCTACCGACAGTAAAAAAAGCATTAAATAAACTATTTTCCCACTCGTTATCCAAATATTATATCAGAACTGTTAACTAAGATGGAATCACAATATGTTTTTCGGTCAGCAACAGAAAATTATGTTTTCTAGCACCAAGTACTTGGACAAAATTAAACTTTCTCACAATTTTTCTGGGGAACATACGTTACGTATTATTAGCCATAACGCAAAGCCTTTGAGTTACAGTTTAAATATTCATAAAAAATCCTTAAGTCATGTATAATTTACCATGACTGAATCACTACAAAATATGTCGGAGCACAGTATCAAAATTCGAATTGAATGACCCGGAACTTACGTTACCGGAACATCCGTTGCCATTTAGGGCTCTTTACAAAATGTAAAGACATGGTAAATATTATAAATTCAATTAAAATTGAGATAGTCGTGGATTTTTTTGTTCTATACACATATGTTTTATAAAATTGAATACAACTTTAAATTCATTCCATTTTATTTTGTGACACTTCAGCATGTGAAATGCACCTCTATATTTGGTTTGGGTGATCTACGTCCACATCTCTCCACCTATATGTCTGTCTATCATTGGGTCGTTCAAAAATTTAATATAAGGTTGCTTTCAGATGTAAACTATATAAAGTAGATCCCCCTCATTTAGATATGTATTGTTGTGGGACTAAAAGACAACTAAATACTCAACACAATTTCCATGAACAGCAACACGTTGTTAGCCTAACTTTCCATGTTACTGGGATATTTTGAAAATGTTGTTGAGATTTCTTTGTAAAGTTCCACTAAATATTTATTTATTTTTTCTTAAATTAAAAAAATCAAATTATTGCCCTTCAAACTGTAACCTAAACTACTCTTCTTTTACTCGTTGCGTATGGCGGCAGGTCGGCAATTAGCACGAAAATCTCATTCAGTGGCACCCCTGTTTTATGTTTTCTGATATTTGTTCAAGGTGGTCGCAGTTTTTCTTTATTTTCTATTGCTTTTAAGTTCTTACAGCTACCAAAACTTGGCAAAAGACAAAAAATTTCGAAAGTATTATGGATAAGCAGGCACGGCAAGGAGCGAGGAAATTCGGGAGAAGTTTTGCATTTTTAAATGGCGTTCGTTTAAACGGTAACTGAAGCAGTCTACTTGTAAAAGCTCGCGGTTTAAATGACCGGCATGTCGGTCGGTTCCTTTCGAAACAAGCTTCGTCCCATGACAACATTTTAATACACAGTGTTCAGGATGGTATATAGCATACAAAGAGTTGATCTGGTTTTGCCTCTGGTGTTTATTCCTTATTGAATATTGTTTACTGCAATCTCTAATCTCCATCAATGAAATTAAGAAAGCAGTTATGTGACGGCACATTTTCGTGAATGCAAATCAAGAAAAAAATTCGGCATTTTAATATGTAATATTGATTTTCCTGTGTGATGTCTAGGAATTATCTATTTGACACAACGTGGCCCAGAACAATGACATGACTTTCTGGTACCATAAGGCGTAAAAGTGAACACCGTCCCCATTCCAGTGCAATACGTCTTTGGAAATTTCAAACAAGTCATACATGGGGTATAAATTAGTTGCATTTTTTTCAACAATACATTTCCTAATCACAGATGCGCTGATTACATTTAGCTGCTTGATGAATTCGTTGCTCTTAACATCCCTCCATTTGACTGGTTGCTTTGAAGGATCGATATGCGGTGAATTCCAATATAATATTTTAGTTGTTTTTGGTATAACAGAGACAATGAGGTCAATGAACCAAGTAAAATCACGGGCAAAATCACGGGGCGTACGTTTCTGTGCCTCGTGTACATGTACAGCGTATATGTTAATAACATCTGGATAACCTGACAGCGGCCAATACTCGCGGAAATATACTTCTTGCGTTGTCACAGACTCTTGGCAATAAATCTGGCTAATATTCTTCAGCCTGATATCACAATCACCCTTCCAGAAGTTTCTTTTTGTGGTTATTTCGTGGTCCTTTGTGAATTCGGTTATTAACACTTCGATGTCTGTAGTGACGTTGAGATTTGGTGCTGTGCATCGAACCAGCTCTCCAGCACACCCACCACAGTCTCTCTTTGCCACTCTGATAGATTTAATATCCAAAGGAGGGCTAAAATAACTCAGAGTGGGTGTTCTTATACTTCTAGATTCACTTTTAAGTTCCTTGCACTTAAAAATCCCTTCACCCCGTTTCATAGCCGCCATATATTTCATCGATTGAGAATCACCAGTCTGTCCTATCTTCCTTATCTTTTTCCTTTTTAAACATGAACCAAGCTGAGCATCGCTCAGTAATTTTGGAAAAATGCACTCTTTGGGCAGCCATGTTTCGTTTACCCATTTTCCGTTTCCGAGAAACCTTTTGTTTTTTATCAAGTATTGCTGTAGAAAATCTAAACTACATATCTGCAACCGTCGAAAACGACCACTTGCTATGTGTCGATTGGAATTACGTGTCATCCACACATTGTCAAGTTTCACTCTCGGTCCATTGAAATCCAAATAAACGCAGTACGCTGTTATGGTAAAAAGTATAAAAAACATGCCACTTGCTACGCGCATGTTTGGTTGAAGGTGTTCTGCGCCCATCTTTAGGAGACTCCTTAAAATGAATGAAATTTAAAAATAAAGAAGCAAACTTCCTTAAAAGCTTTTTGAGCTTATGCTAATTTAACATTATTTTGAAATTATAATATTTATGTTTCGAATAATATTCAAAACAATAGTTCAATCCTTAACAATTGACGTTGATCATTTCACAGTAGTTTTATTTTTAAATACAAACAAAAAGGCTGCTCACCTGTAAATTATTAGGCCAATTAACATGCTCATAATATTTAACAATGCAATGACCCTATGGCCTAGATCATATCCCAATCATAAAAATGGCCCAGTCCAGTAACTGGACTAGATTGGGATCTGGCCTGTGATATATGCAGGCCCGTAGCCGGGGTGGGGGTGGGGGTGGGGGGCAGCCCCCCCTGGAAATTGGGGTGCAAAAAAATAATCGCAAAGGTAAAAAAAATAATTGCAAAGTTGGTATCAATTCTGTGAGAAAAGGCACTTATGGCCACTAGACAATCATTCAACAATCTGTTTACAAAGGTGTATTGTTTTTAGCCAACTCAGTTCATGCCAAAAAGCTCACCCTCCCTGAGGAAGCTATCCCCCAGGCCAATTGGCGTGTTGTGTTGAAAAAATGACTGTACTTATGGGAAAATGAACCCACAATTTCTGACTTCTGATTGACCAATAAATAACAGTTAAAATGCACTGGAATGCAGTATTATACATACAGTTTTTAAAAATTTTCCACACCGTGGGAGGGGGACACCCCCTGCCACCCCCTCCCCCCTCGGGGGCTTCGCCCCCTCGTGTCCGCTTACTGCCCCCCCCCCCCCCTGGCATTTTGCTCAGGCTACGGCCCTGTCCACTCTGGGTAAAATTTGATCTAGATACATGAAGTTTTTATGGGAAAAGGTCCACTTTTTCAGAAAAAGAACCCCCTTTTGAAATTGCTGGCTACGGGCCTGTATATGTATATTGCATATGCCAATAAATCATGCAACACATGAACGTATAAGTAAGGGAGAACATAACGGACAACTGCTAAAAAAATTTAATATCTGGGCCTGCGGGCCCCACCAAAATCCACAAGAATTCTGTGTAAAAGCTCAAAATCTCTTTTCCGTCATGTCGCCATGTCTGCACATACAATACATCATACAGGAGAAGATAAACAAACCTGAATTTTTCTTACAAATACATCTTAACTTACTGAGATCTCATTTTCAATTCCTTCATCATAAAATTGTAATGCTGTACAGTGTAAAACAAAAATAGAAACCATGTTTAAGGTTACAGAGACGACAATATTTTCATTTAAAAGTTGTTCTTCGTTATGAAGGGAAATACGGTAGTATAGGTCTACACGTACCTTCAGACTGACCTCCAAATGAATACAGTTGTCGTAATTACTTTGTGTTTGTTTTTTCCCTCTACCGTGGGAACAAAGTTGATCACTCTCTAGTGCAGTTTAGTCCAGCTTTTGACCCCCACTTCGATATGTAGTTCCTCGTGTGTCAGTTTTTAAGAAATAAAACGGTTCTTATATACCTGTATATATAGCATTTATATAGCACTTCCGCGAATGAAGTCTCACGCTGGCATCTTTACTATATATATACTGGTACAATCTCGAATGTATGAATTTTAAATTATAAATACCTCAGCCACAGAAAAAAATGTAGAGATCATTCGGTCAGTCAGTAATTGATCTCGAGAAACGTAACATCACCGCTGTGTGTTAGTTGGGCCAACGTCAGAAAGAGGGGCGAAGTGGTGAAACTTCACATGTACGGCAGATGGAACCAGTAGGGCCTACAGAGTAACCCTGTAACGATTCTGAGGTTACTCAAATTAAAAATTTAAATGGCGTGAAATATAATTAGCATTTTGCTTCATTCTTCTGTAAATATGTCACCATTGAATGAATCGAATTAGACGGATGGGTCGTGTTAATGCTGGCGAGGGGGATTAGTGTGCATTATCGGAAAAAAGTTTTTCTCGCTATTTCCCACTACGCTTATTACGCGTGTGCAATACAGATCTGGCAGGTAACAAGCGTGTGCTTATGGATATTTTGAGTCAATCTAAGTTGGAAGAAATTTATCATCTGATGAACCTCGGTCCATTCCGTCTGATTGCTAGAGAAGAAAGCACTGCTCAGAATAAGCTCCAAGTTGATATTCAGGTTATTTAAGCTTAATTGTCAATTGTCCGCTTCTGCTAACCCCGACTTCTCCATAGAACACATGAAACCCTTCTTCTTGGTCTGTTCTAAGATCTAATCCGTTTATTAGATCTTAGGTCTGTTTGACATTATAATAACAAACCTATAATTGCCGTTAGGCCTGCTTGAATAGTATTGTATATATATATTCTGATATGGGGCACACGTATATGCCCGCAGCGCAATAAAGACTCAGTTAACAGTTAACGAAGGAAAATCTTATTTTTTGCTGCCCTAACTACTTATAAAATCTCTCAGGATTAATTAATTATTTATGTGCCGTGCTTAATTGAACGTAAAAGCATGAGGAATACAACGGAGGCTGCAATCACAGCGACATTAAGTGGACTGATGACAATTCATAAAGCTGTAGGTCGGGTGCGGGTCAAAAATGAACCCGGATACAACTTTGTTGAAATCATAGTATATTTAGGGATTTTCTTTCCGCTTTACTTCCCTTTGCAGATCAATTATAAATATGGTAAAGTGTCGGCAAATAATAATGAAAAGGAAATGTTATATTCAAAGAAAGGAAGTAGAATGGTTTCGTGACACCTGAGAGTCCGTTAATCGTTAAACTTCACCTGTCTCCATCGCTATTGTGAGAGTGTCTCAAAATCCAGAAACTTCCAGATCAGATTCTGGTTAACGGTCATAATTCTTTGAACGATTTCGGATGTGTTACACATATGTCTCTCGGATTAGGGTTAAAGTGTTGAAATTTCAAGGTAAATCAATCTTTAATTTTAGAAATATCTAACGCTAACTGTTTGCTCGGTGCCTTTTGAGAGACAAGTGGCGAACAAGATCTCATAAAACACTAGTATATGTATTGTAAGCGGTGCTTGCCCCTCGTGACAATATTCCGGGCCTAATATATATAGTTGCACAAATTTTAGATAAGTTTCAATTAACCTCTGAACCCCTAGGGCGCTGGTTTTGAGCATTTGCTTTAATTATTGACTAATATGTTTATGTAAGTTTATGTAATTTTGTAAGTGATTGGTTACATGTGTTCCCTCTGATCATAAATCTACCAGGGCGACAGANTGCACATACAATACATCATACAGGAGAAGATAAACAAACCTGAATTTTTCTTACAAATACATCTTAACTTACTGAGATCTCATTTTCAATTCCTTCATCATAAAATTGTAATGCTGTACAGTGTAAAACAAAAATAGAAACCATGTTTAAGGTTACAGAGACGACAATATTTTCATTTAAAAGTTGTTCTTCGTTATGAAGGGAAATACGGTAGTATAGGTCTACACGTACCTTCAGACTGACCTCCAAATGAATACAGTTGTCGTAATTACTTTGTGTTTGTTTTTTCCCTCTACCGTGGGAACAAAGTTGATCACTCTCTAGTGCAGTTTAGTCCAGCTTTTGACCCCCACTTCGATATGTAGTTCCTCGTGTGTCAGTTTTTAAGAAATAAAACGGTTCTTATATACCTGTATATATAGCATTTATATAGCACTTCCGCGAATGAAGTCTCACGCTGGCATCTTTACTATATATATACTGGTACAATCTCGAATGTATGAATTTTAAATTATAAATACCTCAGCCACAGAAAAAAATGTAGAGATCATTCGGTCAGTCAGTAATTGATCTCGAGAAACGTAACATCACCGCTGTGTGTTAGTTGGGCCAACGTCAGAAAGAGGGGCGAAGTGGTGAAACTTCACATGTACGGCAGATGGAACCAGTAGGGCCTACAGAGTAACCCTGTAACGATTCTGAGGTTACTCAAATTAAAAATTTAAATGGCGTGAAATATAATTAGCATTTTGCTTCATTCTTCTGTAAATATGTCACCATTGAATGAATCGAATTAGACGGATGGGTCGTGTTAATGCTGGCGAGGGGGATTAGTGTGCATTATCGGAAAAAAGTTTTTCTCGCTATTTCCCACTACGCTTATTACGCGTGTGCAATACAGATCTGGCAGGTAACAAGCGTGTGCTTATGGATATTTTGAGTCAATCTAAGTTGGAAGAAATTTATCATCTGATGAACCTCGGTCCATTCCGTCTGATTGCTAGAGAAGAAAGCACTGCTCAGAATAAGCTCCAAGTTGATATTCAGGTTATTTAAGCTTAATTGTCAATTGTCCGCTTCTGCTAACCCCGACTTCTCCATAGAACACATGAAACCCTTCTTCTTGGTCTGTTCTAAGATCTAATCCGTTTATTAGATCTTAGGTCTGTTTGACATTATAATAACAAACCTATAATTGCCGTTAGGCCTGCTTGAATAGTATTGTATATATATATTCTGATATGGGGCACACGTATATGCCCGCAGCGCAATAAAGACTCAGTTAACAGTTAACGAAGGAAAATCTTATTTTTTGCTGCCCTAACTACTTATAAAATCTCTCAGGATTAATTAATTATTTATGTGCCGTGCTTAATTGAACGTAAAAGCATGAGGAATACAACGGAGGCTGCAATCACAGCGACATTAAGTGGACTGATGACAATTCATAAAGCTGTAGGTCGGGTGCGGGTCAAAAATGAACCCGGATACAACTTTGTTGAAATCACAGTATATTTAGGGATTTTCTTTCCGCTTTACTTCCCTTTGCAGATCAATTATAAATATGGTAAAGTGTCGGCAAATAATAATGAAAAGGAAATGTTATATTCAAAGAAAGGAAGTAGAATGGTTTCGTGACACCTGAGAGTCCGTTAATCGTTAAACTTCACCTGTCTCCATCGCTATTGTGAGAGTGTCTCAAAATCCAGAAACTTCCAGATCAGATTCTGGTTAACGGTCATAATTCTTTGAACGATTTCGGATGTGTTACACATATGTCTCTCGGATTAGGGTTAAAGTGTTGAAATTTCAAGGTAAATCAATCTTTAATTTTAGAAATATCTAACGCTAACTGTTTGCTCGGTGCCTTTTGAGAGACAAGTGGCGAACAAGATCTCATAAAACACTAGTATATGTATTGTAAGCGGTGCTTGCCCCTCGTGACAATATTCCGGGCCTAATATATATAGTTGCACAAATTTTAGATAAGTTTCAATTAACCTCTGAACCCCTAGGGCGCTGGTTTTGAGCATTTGCTTTAATTATTGACTAATATGTTTATGTAAGTTTATGTAATTTTGTAAGTGATTGGTTACATGTGTTCCCTCTGATCATAAATCTACCAGGGCGACAGATTGATTTTTCACAGAAATTAACAGATATGTCTCTAGGTAAAAAGACAGCCATTTTGGTCTGATGTATAGTATTCCATTCTGATGAGCCGTAGGGGTCAAGGGTTTAATAAATTGAATTGAATTTAATAATTCTTTTTTAAAGAATTAAACGTTTGATTTTCTTTTCTTCAAAAAGAGTATTACTATTTTTTTATGTTTTGAATTCTATCTGTGTGTCATTTTAATAATAATAATAATAATAATAATAATAATTTTTAAAACGTGCTTATGTAGTGTTCACGTTGAATAGAAACTTCAAAAATAGCGACTATCTTTTGAGTAATTTTCGCAAATTGATTTTAAAGAATAATCAATCTTGGCACAACGTGGCCCAAAACAGTGATATGACTTTCTTGTACCAAATTGGTTCAAAGTGAACACCATCCCCATTCCAGTGCAATACGTCATTGGATATTTCATACAAGTCAAACATGGGGTATAAATTAGTTACATTTTTTTCAATTATATTTTTCCTAATCACAGATGCGCTGATTGCATTCAACTGCTTGATGAATTCATTGCTCGTAACATCCCTCCATTTGACTGGTTGCTTTGAAGGATCGACATGCGGTGAATTCCAATATAATATTTTAGTTGTTTTTGGTATAACAGAGACAATGAGGTCAATGAACCAAGTAAAATCACGGGCAAAGTCACGGGGCGTACGTTTCTGTGCCTCGTGCACATGTACAGCGTATATGTTAATGACATCTGGATAACCTGACAGCGGCCAATACTCGCGGAAATATACTTCTTGCGTTGTCACAGACTCTTGGCAATATATTTGGCTAATATTCCTCAGTCTGACATCACAATCACCATTCCTGGAATTTCTTTTTGTGGTAATTTCGTGGTCCTTTGTATATTCGGTTATTAACACTTCGATGTCTGTAGTGACGTTGAGATTTGGTGCTGTGCATCGAACCAGTTCTCCAGCACACCCACCACAGTCTCTGTTTGCCACTCTGATAGATTTGATGTCCAAAGGAGGGCTAAAATAATAAGGAGAGGGTGTTCTTATACTTCTAGATTCACTTTTAAGTTCCTTGCACTTAAAAATCCCTTCACCCTGTTTCATAGCCGCCATATATTTCATCGATTGAGAATCACCAGTCTGTCCTATCTTCCTTATCTTTTTCCATTTTAAACATGAACCAAGCTGAGCAGCGCTCAGTAATTTTGGAAAAATGCACTCTTTGGGCAGCCATGTTTCGTTTACCCATTTTCCGTTTCCGAGAAACCTTTTGTTTTTTATCAAGTATTGCTGCAGAAAATCTA